GCTGAACGAGTGTAAATGTTAGCAGAGATGAGATCACCTAACGCGGTGTTGCTACATAGCTAACGGCACAAGACCAACATCACTGAATTATTTTTCATGAAAGAAAAACATCACTAATTTACTGAAACATTTGTCCTGATAGAAGAACACCACTTGTTCTGTAAGAAGAACATGCCTGATTAACTAACTGACTGAATTTACTTGAGCACACTTGCTGCCGCTGCTCTAAAAAGGCCTCTAGTCAACATATTAACATCATGGGCAATGTTTCTGAATGGCTCAAAATATTCAGTGTCAAATTTTTCAGTATACTGTCAACTGAAAATAACTGCCTGAAGCTGACACTCTTTTTCAGTTTTGACGATAGAAACAACATCCAAAACAGGGAATTGCATCCAATCAATATCAAGGGGATATATACCTCTGTTGTAGCCGCCGGCAGAGACATTGGATGGTTGGACGGACGTTCTTGTTCCTCCGGCGAACTCTGCGCTTCTTCCTCCGGCGAACTCGGCGGCGACATGGATGCTTCGACGAAGATTGCAATTTCGACGGGATTTGATTTGATTTGATGTGATGGAGCTTCTGGTCCGAGGACCCTTCCTTCTTATAGTAGGCAACTCAAATCCGGCTCGGGAAATCCATTGATTGGTGTTGGAGAAGAACACGTATTTGCTGTTGGAGAAGAACACGGAGTCCAATCACGACACGGGAGCAGCAACTCTGCCGGCGCTGGCAGCTTGCGACGCCCTGGGCACCAACTTGCAGCAGGTGGTGGAGGTTGAGGGACGCGGCGACCACACGCAGGAGGCGGAGCTCGCGTGGGGGCAGGCGAGAGCGCGCAGCTGCACGGGGATGAGGACGGGAGGGGCCTGGCAGTCCAGCGCGAAGCAGAGGGGGCGAGCGGTCGAGGCTGCTGCTCGATGCAGAGAGCTGCGGGCGGGCGTCTGGAGTTGTAGGGAAGCGCGCACAGGAGGGATGGATGGGTTCATGGCGGAGGCGTCGGGGCTCCATAGAGGGCAGTGGCAGCTGCTTACTGAAGAAAGGAAGGAGAGAGAGATTCAGAGAGGGAACATGGGAAGGAAGCAGAGAGAGACTGCGGGATAGGGGTTTCTCGTCTTTTCTTCCTGCTTATCTTCGGTGGTTTTTCTCTGGTTCCTCCAGACTGAAGCAGGCCCAATGCAGAGAGCGTCCTACCAGGCCCAATACAGCGAGCGTGAGGAAAAAACGAATTGTTTCTTTAGTACCACATCGGTCAATTCATAAAACCGCGTGAGGCAAAAACGAATTATTTCTTTAGTACCACATCGGTCAATTCATAAAACGTGAAATCTTTTGCTAAAAAAATATAATGACGGTGAACCCGGAGACCCAATCCGTGCTTTATTATTAGGGAGAGACTAGCAAACATACCCGTGCGTTGCAACGGGAGGAAAAAATGTATCAGATGCCATTAGCTCGGTAAGCATGACTCAAGAACACATAAGCCCATGCCATCAATATCAATATTGCACTCCATTCATGTTCCCTTGCCACTCATGGCCTCCAGAGCGCTCCTCGTGGCTGAGCCTAGCCGCTGGCTCGACATTGCCGTAGCATTCATGTTGAGCACTGGCCATGCCGGCCTGAATATTTGCCCTGTGAGCTCTTCCTCAAACCTCAAGTAATTTTAAATTTCCACTTCAAAAAATTAAATTAAACATTAAGTATATGTAAGTCTTAAATTCAATCAAAATATAGTTTTGAAACTCAAGTAATTCTAATATTTTTTGGAACAAAAGAAGCTTAATTTTGAGTTAAAAACTTAAAATAAGTAAGATTTATTTGTACTATTTAAGAGGTGTACTGCTGTATGTTGTTGATTTAAACTTTGATAACTGATGAGATATATTTATATATACTATATAGTTAATCTATATTAGCACATGCACACACGCACCTTCGGTGTTTCCTAGCGGCGCCGAACCTCACGGGGATAGACTTAGACCGAACTGAGGTAGGTCGAAGATAGACGGCTGTCAGAGCAGCTGCCGCTGCTTCAGCGTGATGGCTGCCACTGTATAGATCCATAATGTGCAGTATTTTGCTAATGTGTGTACAATTGTACACTACTAAATCCATAATGTGCAGTCTCAGCAATGTATCTGAGCATTCATTAATCCACACACGGTACAAGCATCATATACACTGGGGAGCTCACCATTGAGAAAAAAATCTGAAAAAAAAGAAAGGAAAAGAGAAGAAATTACTGCTGTATTTTGCTAGATCTGGCGTTGATGAGACCTTCCAGGTGGAGAAGCAGCTTGCTCGAAGCAGGTCCAGTGTGGGACGACAAGGAGATCTGTCTCGGCAGCTTGCACCGTCGCGCGCGTTGCTGGAGTAGACGCCTAGAATGGAAAAGGAAGGCATGGTAGAGGGCGGGCGGAGTGTATTTGACAATTACAATGAACAACAACGAGGAAGAGGCAAACGGGTGTCTAGGTTCCTGCCTTAAGCAACTGGATTGTATTCATATTACATGTAAACAGGCGACACAAAAAAGAAAGCCTCGGTTAATTGAATCATCGCCGGCCAATACACAATCACATCACCAGGTACACAGCCAAACCGTTCTTTGCACGTCGCTTGGCTTGGCTTGAGGAAGGCGCCTATCTCGTCTTGCTCTTGAGCAGCTTCAGCCCAGCCATCGATCCAATCTGCTCATGATAGTTGTGGCCTGCGACCAAGCGCGAGCCCACTGGTTACTGCCTCCCTGCCGCCCAATGTTGCTACCCGTCCTGTGCCGCTTAACGCCTGTGACACATAAGCTTGTACGGTGTCCTCCAAATTAAGGAATCAATCTACTCCAACCAGCCCATGGGCGTAGCTCCTGTCATCTTGTCGTCATCAGCCAACGCACGGGCCTCTGCAGCCAGCCAACCCACGTCCAATCTTGTCCCATCCTCATCTTCCTTCCTTCTTCCTCCCCAATCAACAACTGCGGATTCCCTCGATTGATCCGGCAGGAGCATAGGCGACGAAGGTCTCAGGCTGCGACAAAAGTGCCATGGGGATCTCGGATTCGCTCGTCAACTGGCTCCGAAGATTCCCCGTTCGCCTCTTCGATCTCATGGTCGTAATCTGCCTTGTCGTTCGACGGCTTCCTCTGCTACTGCCTCGCCTCCACCGAATCACCTCTCCCCTCCTCTTCCATCGCTGATATTTATTGGAGGAATTAGAGAGATATGGAGATCGAGTCTAATTCGTGTAGAGAGGGCAAAAGAAAAAAAAACGGACTGTGAAGACATGCGCGGGAATAAAAGAAGTGTCAGAGGCCCAGACCCATATTCGAGAAGCGCTCGTGACGGGCCGAGGAACGCAGGCCCGGCCGAGCTGCGACTTTTTTAATGAAACGTGGCTCCACAAATTAGTACCACCTCACATATTTCACGTAACGTAGGAAGAAATTGTAAAAGCGTATTATAACATGAGAAGAAAGCGTATTGCGACGATGAACCCAGAGACCCAATCCGTGCTTTATTATTAGGGAGAGATTAGGGAGAGATTCTTACCGACGGCTGTGAGGAGCTGTGGCATGGCATCAGCGATTTTGTCCTCCGCAGGGGCAGCGGCTCTAGTCTGTTGTCGGCATGCAGCCTGATGTTGAATCTTAGTTTGTACGTACATAAGAACATATTAACGTTGACAGCATGGTAAGGAAAATAACCAAACTAATCAAGAAGCTGGCTGCAAAATGCAAGTTTGATATGAAGAAGTAGAAAATCTAGGAAGAAGGAAGGCACTAGATGAAAGTAGGCAGAGCAGATTGAATCAAAGCTGTCGAATAGGTCGTGGGACGGTCGGCAACTGGGCCTCACGCTCACTAGTCACTACAAAGGAGCCTTCGCCACCACGGCCAAGCCTCGGTAGCAACCAGCTGGACTCCATGGTGGCCATGTTCGATTGGGAGCACAACGATGGCGGTGGAGCGGCCAGGGTAACGGATTGGTGTCATCATGGCCTTGAACCAACGTGCGGGGAGTGTCCCCGGTTGTCCAAGAACAAGATCAAGCCGTCTACCTTCGTCGTGCGGCACAGCTCCAACGCGGCCGATGTCACCACGGGCGTCGACATCATCAACTTCACTCCACGGGCCCTTTGGCGCCCGGCGCCGTCCATGGAGGAAGGAGCTCGGGGTCGATGGGCTTGTCATAGAGGCGCTAGCGGGGCCAGCAACACCGGAGGGAGCTCAGGGAAGGCGGCAGAGGCGTCGGGGCTCCTTAGAGCTAGTGAATCATGCACAACGGCGGCAGGCCAAGAATGAGGAAGATGGCGTCCACGCTGTAATTAGGCGGGAGACTCTCCAATCACTTTGCGAGAGTAGACGAGGGAGGCGCGACGGAGCTGCTTGACGCGGTGGTGTGGCTCAAGATGGCCGCTGGTCGCGTGGGCCACGGCGGCGGCGGCGGTGACCGCAGGACAAGCGCGTGCGGAGCACACGATTCCCGCGACGAGAGAGTGAGAGAAGGGGGAGTCGGGAGTGAAGGGAAAGGAGGGGGTTGGGGCATCCGGGGCGACGTTGTAGCATCTCTGCGGAGGCATCCATGGCGGTCGGATGAATGACACACATGAGAGGAGGAGAGGAGGAAGACAACGTCATCTCCAAAACCACCAAAATCGTAACAAAACCGCTCCAGGGGCAGATTTATCCGGGTTTGAAGATTTCAGGGCCAAAATTATACTACCAAAATAGACTTCAGGGGAGTATTTGTCCATTGAGGCACATTTGGGGGTGAAAAATGAACTTCTTTCTATCCAGATTAGATCTTACTGCCAGCCCGTTCGCTCGACCCACTTTCAAGTAATGGCCCATTCCCAAATCCGGCCTCGGAGGAAAGCCCAAATTCGGCACGCCTGAAGCTGAATGGGGGGAGCTCCTCCTCGCACTCGCACCATTGGTCCGTCCCACAATATCCACTGCGCTACCCCGCTCCACCCTCGCCCGCTCCCCGCAGTCCGCCATGGCGGCGCTCTGCTCCGCCGCCTCGCCGGCCGTCGCCAGGGCCGCGGCGCTCGGCCTGTCCGCGCGCGGCCCCGCCTCCCTCCTCCCCCTGCGCCTCCGCCTCCGCGCCGCCACGCGCTCCTGCTACGCCGCACCACGGGCCGCGCCGGTCGCGGCGTCGTGGCGCGCGCGGCGACGCTTCGCCGCGTCGGCCGCCTCCACCACGGAGGAGGGCGCGGACGTCGACACGGTGATCCCGCCTGACAACCGCATCCCCGCCACCATCATCACCGGCTTCCTCGGCTCCGGCAAGGTCGGTCACTGTCAGGGCGCCCCAACACAAAATCCCGTAGCTCCTACCATGCGCCCGAGCCGTGTAGTATGCACGCTCTCTCCCGCAGCGATGCTGGACACTTTTTGCTGGATTACAAATTTTTTCATCTGATCTGTGAGATTTAGAGCATTGATTGACAAATAACACTAGGACTAATCGTGTAGCTAATCAGTAAATTGCAAAGGGAGAACTTAATCCATATAGAACATTCGTTTTGGCATAGCACCTAGCGGCTTTTCATATGCAGAATGTTTAGAGGATGGCTAAAATCAAAATAATCCTCCTATCTCTTAGGACGTAAGTGGAGCACCGTAAAGCGTAAAAGAGTTCTGCTTATATGTATATATATCCATTGTATACATATTGTTAACGTTTTTTGTAGTTTTGGTACCGTGTGTCCTTGTCTCTGTTGCATTTACAGTTTGCCTCTTGTTTCTGTTCACAGACAACTTTACTAAATCACATACTGACATCTCACCATGGAAAACGGATCGCTGTCATTGAGAATGAGGTATGTCTGTATGAGTAACTCTTTTTTGTTGGATGTTTATTCTTCAAGTCCCTGAGCAGGGTTAGCTTTTTATTCTTGGACACATGCTATGCTAGTCTTCTCAATCTGAAAAGCCATTCTTAGTTTACCTACTTCATCAGTGATCGATCACTTTAAAACGGCCATGACGCCAGCTAAAGTAGGCAAGAAGAAGCTGATTTGATGCCACTATCTATCTTGCAGTATGGTGAAGTTGACATTGATGGTTCGTTAGTTGCCGCACAAACTGCTGGAGCTGAGGACATAATGATGCTGAACAATGGTTGTCTTTGCTGCACTGTGCGTGGTGATTTAGTCCGAATGATCAGTGAATTGGTTGACAAGAAGAAGGGAAAGTTTGACCATCTTGTCATTGAAACCACAGGTAAGGAAACTTTGTAGGAACAGGATCTCCACCATAATGAAGAAAACCCGTGAGATGTAATTCTCTCGAGGTTAAACATCACCCCAACTTTGAGAACTTTAAGGGCTCCTTTGATTCAAAGGAATTCCGACTTTTGGAGGGTCAGAATCCCTAGGATTTTTTCCTACGTTTGTCGTTTGATTCATAGGATTGAATCCTATAGGATTTTTTCCTATGGAATCAAGTGTACTATCATTTCATTGGAAATCTAGCATCCACTCCAACCTCTTTTTTCAATCCTTTGTTTTTCCTATAACATCAAACACTCTATGCTAATCCTATAGGATTCAAGTGGACATGCCACTCAAATCCTGTATTTTCCCTATTCCCGTGTTTTGAAAATCCTGCAAATCAAAGAGGGCCTAATATTATTAGTTACCTTTTATTGCATTACCATGTTGAGTTCTCTGACCTGCCGTCTATCTGTTTTTCAGGTTTAGCAAACCCAGCACCCATAATACAGACATTCTACGCGGAAGATACAGTTTTTAATGATGTCAAGCTAGATGGTGTTGTTACTCTAGTGGATTCAAAGCATGCAAGGTTGCATTTGGATGAAGTGAAGCCCAAGGGTATAGTCAATGAGGCAGTTCAGCAAATTGCTTATGCTGACAGAATTATAATTAACAAGGTAATGTTTTTGTAACCAATACATGCTGGCTAATCTGTAGTCATGTGTGTCTAATTACGAGGCCCTTTGTATTATTTCTATCCTTGATGGTTGAGGAGCTAATTTCTTGTTACTTCTTGCAGACTGACCTTGTTAGCGAGCCTGAAGTTTCTTCCTTGGTTGAGCGTATAAGGGTCAGTACAGTACATTCATTTTACTCTTTTTTTGCCATGTGGTTATTCCTTACATCATGTTTTGTGCATGCAGAGTATCAATCGCATGGCTAATTTGAAACGAGCTCAGTATGGTAAAGTTGATTTGGATTATGTGCTTGGAATTGGAGGCTTTGATTTGGAGAGGTTCCTTTCTTTCATCGCCTTCTTTGGACCTTCCATTTTTACAAGCAGAACACTATCTTTCATATGGTTATATGCCCTCCTAGTCAAGGGAAAAGAAACTCGTGTATTGAAATTATCTAAATTATTCAAGCACACTGGAACGATACATCTACAAGCGTAACTATGGTAGATGTTACACGGACGGAGTCGCCCGCTAGCGCTGAGATCCATACTTCTACTGCTGTGTGGATAGAATGATCTGATTTGTTCAACCATAATGAAATGACATGTTATGCTTAATGCACGAGTATAGTACTAAGTATATATCAGGCATATTGTATTTACTAGCATTGAGAGATGCAAGATCTACAGCCACTGTGACTTGATGTGTTACAGTGTGACCTAAGGTATTGCTATTAAATGATTAAATGGACCATGTCTAGAGTTGATTTAAAGTGATGCCATCAATTAATTATACACACATTATATGGCTCAATCCAATATAGATTAGCTATTTGTTAAATGTGGACATGTACTCTTTGGGATATCATCAGTGACTTCTTCTGCTTGCTGATATACTTGTAATTTACTCATTTACCAAACATGTCATCATCTGGTTTAGTTTTTCTTGGGTAGAATCATCTGGTTTAGTTGGGTATTTACAATCACTAAGCAGTGCACGCCACGTATACTACACATAGAGATCGTTCCTTATTTCCCCTCAAAATTTAGCTGTAGTTGCTCAAATTGGGAACCATTGACCATAAAGGAAATTTGATTTCATTTATGTTTCAGGATTGAGAGTGCTGTCACTGAAGAACCACATGATGAGCACGAACATGAACATGAACACAAGCATGAACATGAACATCACCATGACCATGCCCACGACCACGACCATGATCACCATCATCATGATCATGACCATAAACATGGTGAGCATAGTATTATTTGTGTGGTCATCTACAAATCTTAAATATCATATAGCTCTGCAATATGAAGTGAATTAACGTTGTTTGCTTCTTGTAGACCATCATGCGCATGATCACACCCATGATCCCGGTGTTTCTTCTGTAAGCATCGTTTGCGAAGGGGAGATGGATCTTGAAAAGGTCAAATTTAAAATTACATGTCATACATTTTATATCTTCTCAAGATAGCTAAGATGAATTTCTGGACATTTTATTTATGACCCTGCACATTATCTGGTTGTGTATATTGGGACAAACATTTTACATGTCCTCATGCAGGCTGACATGTGGTTGGGGAACCTACTGCTGGAACGCAGTGATGACATATACCGGATGAAGGGGCTGCTCTCAGTCAGTGGAATGCCTCAACGCTTCGTCTTTCAGGTATTTGTTACTCACTTACTCTAGCCTTTAGTTTATCTAGTTCAATTTGTTCTCCTGTTCTTGTGAATGGAAACTAATCATGTCTTCTCTAGTGACTTGTTAAAGGACACACTGGGTCCAAACAGTCTTAGAAAATTATTTGTTGGTAGTAAAGACATGTCTGTTTAGAAAACAAGCACCTTGTCTTTCCTTTCGTGTTCTTATTTGCTCTGCTAGTTAGCGAATCCATTTGACAGCTGCCTCTCTTTGATGGTAGTGTCATTTCTTCACGCTCACAATCTCTGCAGAATTTAACAAGATAATCCATGCCAACAACCACTCATTTTCTATAGAGGAATAGCTAAACCAACCCAGCTGGCTGGTCAATCTCAGTCGTGTTCGTCTGTGTTTACTGAGCTTTCTCCACTTTCAATGCCATGTGCTTTGCTTCGCTTTATAGCATAGAGAGACCCATCATTGGTGTACCTACGATTCCACGCCCAAGCACCAGCTGCTTGATCTTAATGGTTCTTTAACTTCTACTCCTGATCTAAGAACCTTTCTTTTGTCCAACTCCTGATCTAGATCAAGGCCCATGTTGTCGATGCCAGAGTGTCACTGGACATTTTTTTTCCACCTGTCTGAAGATTGCTTGTATAAGCCTATGACAATTTTTCTTTCAAATTTGCCCAAATGGACGACGAACGGTTAGCTAGGTGTTGTGTTGTCCACTCTCTTGTTAAGCGACCTAACCACCACATCCATGTTCTCCATCTGTAGGGAGTGCACGACATTTTCGAGGGATCTCCCGACAGGATGTGGGAGCCCAACGAGCCGCGCATCAACAAGATTGTGTTCATTGGCAGGAACCTCAACCGGGAAGAGCTGGAGACGGGCTTCAAGGACTGCCTGCTGAAGTAGGCCAGAGCTTCTCCTTTTGGATGGATCTCCAGCTTCATGATTTTGAGCTTTGCGGCTGCAGACCTTATCCTTCATTGAAATGTCGAAACTGTAACCGTTATTGAACTGACACGGAACGCGAGATGTATATATAGATTGGGGAACAGTAGCATATACTTGGAACCTGGCCGCCGTGTTGTTCGCAGATGTCTACTGTTATGCATGATGTTGCACTGTGACTTGCAGAGATTTATAGACTGTACTGTGACTTGAGGAATTGCTTTGTAGGTCTGAAAAGTCTCCATATCGTGTGTTTCGTTCAAATTTTGCATTTTTTATAAATACGGCTGAAGTTGGTATGTGTTTATGTGACAGCTATAACATGTCATTAGAACCTGGCCGCTGTGTTGTTGGCAGATGTCTACTCTTATGACTTGCTGGCAGATGTCTACTCTTATGACTTGCGGAGATTTATAGACTACTGTGACTTGAGGAATTGCTTTGTAAGCCTGAAAAGTCTCCATAGCACGCATTTTGTTCAAATTTTGCAATTTTCATAATATGATTGAAGTTGGTATTTATTTTATCTGGTCTGAAACAACAGTGGCCGAGTGCACAGGATATGGAGGCTACTAGGGTTTGGGGCGCGCACCGGCACGCCTCTTGGGTGGTTAGATGCGCGCTGCAATGAGTGGCGAACAGAGAACTACATCTGCCCACATGAATATGTTCATAATCTTGGAGAAGTACATCGAGAAATAGCGCCTTGAGAAATGGTTTGAAATCACATGAATGTATGCCCATCTGTACACATGAATATGATTGTCACAAGACATGGGAGAAAGACAACATGACTGGAGAGGTCCTCCTACAACATTCATATCGGAACCGTGTGACGTCTGCTCACCTCGGTGAGATGTCTGACCATGGCAGGACTGGTTTCCTCACAAGCCAAGTCAGATTGAGTCCCGTATAGCAGATCAATACAGCTCAGTTAGATGTTCCTGGTCTCCAACATAGTTTTGTTTTGCACTACCACAGGTAAAAATATTGCAATAAGAACTCACGAAAAGCCGAACAATTAGTAACTTCAACTATGTGCAAAGACTCGCGCTAGCTATGACAGATCCTTGAGCAGGCTGGAATTGACGCTGGCCATTTGAAGTCAACAATAATGTGGCAAAGAAGTACTCCCTCCGTCCCAAAATTCTTATCTTAGATTTGTCTAGATACGGATGTACCTAATACTAAAACGTGATTTGATACATCCGTATTTAGACAAATCTAAGACAAGAATTTTGGGACGGAGGGAGTATTGACTATTTGACTGGTTGTGTTTTGATTCATGAAGAGCATAAGAATTTTAAGCAAATGTGCATGCTCACCTCATGGTGGTATCTACAAACAAACATTTCAATATGTAGCATAACAATAAGCAATCATGTTAAACCCTAAGCCCCTAACTCTGTCAAATTGTATTTCGTACTTCCACCGGGTCACAGGATACTTGTTTAACCGATGCAATTGTACTTAGAACCTGCTAGCAAACCACCATAAAAATAGCAAATGACCTCATATTTGAAATTAACACTTCTTATCCAGTATAGGAACTGCCTGGGAAAATAATATTTACCAAGTACGTACACCTACAATACACCATCATAGCAGCATGAGCATCAGAGGGATAATCCCAGTTATGAGAACCTATAGTCAATCAGAAGGAATGATTTAGGGTCACTAAGCATACAGATTAATTTTAATGAACATCATTATTTTTTTAAATAACTTAACATTCAGATGCAGGTGCAGTCATCACGGCCTTCCACGTAATTCAGGACAGAAGCATCCATCTAAGTAGATGACAAGAAACAAAAGGGATTCGAAAGGCAATCTGCAAGATATAATTAATTAGTTATTGTCACGCGCGCGGAGTAGAAAAAGAAAGAGATCGCCCCGCGTCGCTCTCGCGAGCGGCGTCGGGCGAACCCTAGCCTCAACTCCGCGGCCGCCTCCTCCAACCTCCCTTCCCCTGCCGCCGCCGGAGGGCGCCGCCGGGCGAAGCCCGTGGGCGTCGGCGGCGGCGGGTTCTCTTCCCCTCCCGGTGTGTGGCGGCAGCGTGAGATGCGGCGGCGCGGCGGGGGCGTGACGCTGGTGCGGGGCGTGGCGGCGGCGGGGCTCTCGGCCGCGCGGTGCGGGCGGGCGTCCAGGCCGTGGTGGCTGCACGGTGCAAGACCATGGCGTGACGGCGGATCGGGGCTGACGCAGGGACGGCGGCGCAGGCGCGGAACCGGCTCGGATCTGGCCCTGCGGCCGCAACCTCGGCTTCAACATGGGGAGAGGCCGGATCCTGGCCGGGCTTGGCCGGATCTAGCTTCTCTGCCACCGTTGGCCGCCCTTCATGGGGCTCGGTGGCTTCGTTCCGGCGGCCAGCGAGGGCTGGATCCCGGGGCGGCGGCCCCGGACGGCGGAGGATGTGTCGGCCGCTGTGGACTCGCGACGGGCGACGCGGCGGCCGCGGTGGTGGACGATCCTTGCACAAGACGCTTGATGGAGGCCATTGGAACAGATCTGGGTGAAGACCTGCTCGCGGCTGCTGTCGAGGCCGGCGATGGCGGCACTATTCGGTGTCGTTCCCTTGTTGAAGGCATCGCTGTTGAGAAGTTCCATGCCACTATCGGCTACCTCCGGGGGAAACCCTAGATCAGTAGATCGGATGACGGCAGCATTATTGTGTCGTTTTCCTCTTGTGGCGTCATTCTTGGAGGTGTACACGGGCTCGAGGGACCAGTGGACGAAATAATTGGTGGAGCGGTGATTCATCCTGCACATTAATGGTGGCGTTTCTCGGCGGCGTGGCGCAGTGGAGACTCGGCGCCCGATGTGTGGCGAGGGACTCGCGCAGGAGGGTGATGTTATCAGGCGTCGTGGTGGCGTCGATGGCAGAGAGGCCGGGCAAGGTGGTGCAGCAGTACAGCTCTGAAGATGGATTGATGGCAGGTGGCTGCGGCGGCCTCATACCCGACAGGCGGCCTGGTTGAGGACACTAGTAGAAAAAGGGCCTTCAGTCCCGGTTCATAAGGGCCTTTAGTCCCGGTTCTGGAACCGGGACTAAAGGGTCGATACTAATGCCTATCCCTTTAGTCCCGGTTCAATCCAGAACCGGGACTAAAGGCCGCGGCCACGTGGAGCTCCACCTTTAGTCCCGGTTGGTAACACCAACCGGGACTAAAGGAAATTTTATGATTTTTTTTGAATTTTTTTTTGAATTTTTTTAAAATTATTTTTGATTTTCAAATTTCTGAATTATTTTAACCTCTAGTCTGTAATCACCACCCCTTATCACTTCTTAATTTATTCTCTAATCACCCCTCATCATTCCAAATCATCTAACTTCTCGAACGGTCACCCATCCTCCCACTCCCCTAGCCTGAGCATGCTTAACTTCCGGGTTCTATTCTCTCTCGCTCCAAGTCTGCACTTGTTGTTTTCCTGACAATACTAAGATGTCAATCCTATTAACCTTCAGGAATTTTGCTTGAGCATGAAGTGACACATTTCATAGTTTTATTTTGAAACTATTGTTTTAAAAAATAATAATTATTTAGTAACACTAATATTTTTTGAATAATTAGTTTGACCACAGTTTGACCATAGTTTGACCAGATTTGACCAAAATTGAAATAACAGAAATAATTATTTAGTAACACTAATATCCTAGAATAATTAGTTTGACCATTGTTTGACCACAGTTTGCCCACTGTTTGAATTTTTTCGATTTTTTTCACTCTAGATCTTAAAAGCCCCGTAACTTTTTTCTATTAGGTTTTCGACGAGTTTGACCATTGTTTGACCACAGTTTGCCCCCTGTTAAATTTGGATGTAACTTCTCGAGTAGATGATTTTTCATATAAAAAACTTTTTCATCCGAGTTAGTATGCAAAAGTTATGCCCATTTTTACAAATTTCAGAGAGATTTTGCAAATAAAGTCAAAATTCACATTTGCAAATTTTTCCAACAACTAGACCACATATC